CCCCCCCCCCCCCCCCCCCCATGTAGTCCTGACTTGTGTAACTGTACGTGGGTTTTTACAACCACTTGCTGCAGTTTTCGTTCATTGTGAAGTTATGTTGTACGTTTTGCAGGGTGTCATTATAATTATGTTCTAACGAGGGAAAAAAAATGAAACAGGCTAACAATTCACATCGTAGATGTTATCTCAGTCGTAGGCCTTAGTGGTTCTCAGTTTCTTTCTACGGATTCCACAGATCTCCATCAGCACCACATTGCAGCTTCAGGGAAAAGACAGCGAGGTCGACCCGAGGAACGGCGTGTAACGACAGGCCAATATGTCAGGATGTTTGGTGCGGGTGGTGGTGACGGGGGCGTGCAGTGACGTAGGACAAAGCATCAGCTACATGGTGGGCAAGGGGGATGTGTTCGGATCTGACACCAGTCTGGACTTGGTGCTAGTGGAGAACCAGGGCAAGATGAACAGTTTGACCAGAGGCTTTGTGGTCGAGGTACGGCTTGTGGGTCACTTATGTTTGATGAGATGAGGTGAGATGAGGTGAGATGAGGTGAGATGAGGTGAGATGAGGTGAGATGAGGTGAGAAGAGGTGAGAAGAGGTGAGATGAGGTGAGGTGAGATGAGGTGAGATGAGGTGAGATGAGGTGAGATGAGGTGAGGTGAGGTGAGGTGAGATGAGATGAGGTGAGATGAGATGAGGTGAGATGAGGTGAGGTGAGGTGAGATGAGATGAGGTGAGATGAGGTGAGATGAGGTGAGGTGAGGTGAGATGAGATGAGGTGAGATGAGATGAGGTGAGATGAGGTGAGATGAGGTGAGATGAGGTGAGGTGAGATGAGATGAGGTGAGATGAGGTGAGATGAACGGTCTGAGCAAAGGCTTTGTGGTCGAGGTACGGACTTGTGGGTAGTTATGTTTGATGAGATGAGGTGAGATGAGATGAGATGAGGTGAGGTGAGGTGAGGTGAGTTGAGGTGAGATGAAGTGAGATGAGGTGAGGTGAGGTGAGGTGAGATGAGGTGAGGTGAGGTGAGGTGAGGTGAGATGAACAGTTTGAGCAAAGGCTTTGTGGTCGAGGTACGGACTTGTGGCGCTCGTTGACTTTCACGTTTGGTGAGGTGAGATGAAGTGAGGTGAGATGAGATGAGGTGAGATGAGGTGAGATGAGGTGAGATGAGGTGAGGTGAGGTGAGGTGAGATGAGATGAGGTGAGGTGAGGTGAGGTGAGGTGAGGTGAGGTGAGGT